TTTTTTTTTTTTTCATGCCCACGGGGATTCATGGCTGGCTGAGCAGTAAATTCACTCCCAGTATTTCAGCTCACAAATAAAGAGGTAATAAGAGAGGCTCTGCATGTGCGTTGGCCAAAATAGAAAATGGACAAGAAGCTAGCAGAGTTTATAAGTAAACACATCCTACCAGAAGGATGTGATTGCTATTTTGGAAAGAACTGGAAGGTACAGGAAAGTATAGAGGCCATGCACTTTAAATTGAGGCAAACCTTATATAGAAAGAGTCATGAAATGAGATTTGCAAGAACAAACAGTCAATTTAGATTGCAACATAACGTGAGCCCTGGGAGAGAGTATGAGCAAACTGGGGAAGGAAAGGAGAGTCTGAGGATATTCTGCAGAACAACTTAGATGATTATTCCTGTAATTCAGTAAGCTTTCTATTTTAATTAAAAGCCATAACTTCCCAAACATTAAGCACTTAGTGGGTTACATTGAAAACTCTGAGTAGATTTTTGTTTGTTGAGATTTATTCATGGTATGTTTTTGATTATTCTAATTTAAAACCTTTCTTCTTTTTCCATATTGAGATTCCTTTTGTATAAGACATAGGTACGTAGCTATAATATCTTGATATGTAGCTATCTGATCCTAGAAGAGGATTAGGAAATTTCTGGCCTCAGCTTCCACATTTGGAAAAGGAAGTGATGTGGTAGGTTCAACAAAGAATGAGTTACTTTACCTGCCTCCTTTCTGCTTAGATTCAAATCCACTATCTGATTATTTTCAGATGATTTCAGACTAAAAAAAAAAAAAAAAAAAAAAAGATGGGTGGTTTGCTTTCCCTGATAACCCGCTGATCTGGTTACCATTGGAAATCTAGTCAAGAGGTGTATATTTTTTTCTATTGTGAGTGAGAAACACTACAGAACAATTTCAACCCACAGTCACAAGTCTGATCTAACACCAAGGATCTTCAAACAACATCCAAAAGGCTGGGACATGAAGGAAAGCCAGTGGGAAGCCATTGACTACTTATTGGTCCCATGACCTTGGACAGTTTGCTCCTTGCCTGCAGCTTCTTTGTCCCTAAAATGGAGCTGACAAATCTTCCCATCA